CTGGAATCTTGCTTTTCATCGGTGCCTTCGGTGCAGCTTGGACATTTTCCTTCAGTACCACTGGTTCTTGTTCACGCTACCTTGTGGAATGGTTGAATGTCGACCAATTCTTTTTGGTCCAGTGACTCTGTGTGTTCTTTTCATTCTCTTTTGATGCTTCCTGTGTCATTCAATATTTTTTTCCCAGAGAATTCGTCAGTATTGCAACTTGAGGCTTGAATTTTTTCTTCAGTTCTTTCAGCCTGAGAAATTCTGAACGTGTTCTTCCCTTTTGGTTGTCTCACTCCAGGTCTCTGCACTTTTCACTGTAATATTTTGTCTTCTACAGCCACCTTTTGCAGTCTTTTGTTCTGTTATTTCATTTAATCATTTCTGCCACTTGCTTTGGCTACTCTCTGTTCAAGAGAAAGCTTCAGAATCTCTTCTGACATCCACTTTGCTCTTTTCTTTTTCCCTTGTCTTTTTAATGACTTTCCACTTTCTTCATATATGGCGTTCTTGATGTTATCCAACAGCTCATCTGGTTTGGGATCATTGGTGTTCAGTGCATCAAATTGGTCTTTGAATTCAGGTGGGATATACTCAAGGTCATACTTTCATTCTTGTAGACTTATTTTCATTTTCTTCAGTTTCAGCTTAAACTTGGATATGAGCAATTGATGGTCTGTCCTGCATTCGGCCCCTGGTCTTGTTCTAACTGATGATATTGGGCTTTTCCACCAACTCTCCACAGACGTAGTCAATTTGATTCCTATGTATCCACCAAAGAGGTCCAGTCACTATTTATTTTGTTGGAAAAAGGTATGTTTAATGAGTAAGTTGTTCATCTTGCAGAATTCTGTCATGCAATCTCTGGCATCATTTTTATCATCAAGGCCGTATTTTCCAACTACTGATGATTCTTCTTTGTTTCCAACTTTCACATTTCCAATCACCAGTAATAATCAAGACATCTTGATTGCATGTTTGGTCAGTTTCAGACTGCAGAAGTTGGTAAAAATCTTCAATTTCTTCATCTTTGGCATTAGTGATTGGTGCGTATATTTGAGTAATAGTATTAACTGATCTTCCTTATAGGTGTGTGGATATTATCCTATCACTGATAGCCTTGTCCTTCCAATAGATTTTGAAATGTTCTTTTTGACCATGAATGCGACACCATTCCTCTTCAATTTGTCACTCTGGCGTAGGAGACCATATGAGTGTCTGATTCAAAATGGCCCATACCAGTTCATTTCCACTTATTAATGCCTAGGATATTGCTTTTTATGTATTCCATTTCATTTTTGATGACTTTTAATTTTCCTAGATTCATACTTCATATATTCTACATTCTTATTATTAATGGATGTTTTCAGCTATTTCTTCTTCTTTTGAGTTATACCACATCAGCAGATGAAGGTCCCCAAAGCTTTACTCCATCCACGTCATTAAAGTCAGCTTTTCTTTGAGGAGGCAGTTCTTCCCCCGCCATAGGTTGAGTGTCCTCCAACCTGAGGGGCCATCTTCTGGCACTATATCAGACAGCATTCTTCTGCTATTCATAAAGTGTTCACTGGCCGTTTTTTCCAGAAGTAGGTCCCCAGGTCCTCCTTCTGAGTCTGTCTTAGTCTGGAAGCTCCACTGAAACCCGTCCCCCACGGGTGACCCTGCTGGGACCGGAAACACGGTGGCATAGCGCCCAGCCTCACAGCAACACGCCAGCCCCCGCGGGACAGCATACTGACAGACGCGTTCCAGCCATCGCAGGACAGCACACTGACAGACGAGTTCCAGCCCCCGCAGGACAGCACACTGACAGACGCGTTCCCATCGAGGAAATGCACATTGAAGCCACAGTGAGATGGCGCTGCACCTCCACTAAGGTGGCTATGGTTTAAAAAATGGGAAACAACACATGTTGGAGAGGATGTGGAGAAGTTGGGCCCCTCATCCGTTGCTGACGGCAATGTGAAGTGGTATGGCCGCTCTGGAAAACAGTTTGGAGGTTCTCAGAAAGTTCGACGTAGAATTATCATACAATCCAGGTATTTACCAAAAGACTTGAAAGCAGGAACACAAACAGATACATGTACTGTGGTGTGCACCGCAGCTCCATTCACAAAAATCAACTAAATGTCCATCAACAGATGAATGGATAAACAAAATGTGGTCCACATAGACAATGGAATATTACTCAGCCATAAAGAGAAATGGAGTCCTGATACACGCTACCAAAACCAAAACCAAACCAAACTCCCTGCTGTCGAGTCGGAACCCCTCCTTGGGTTTCTGAGGTAGTATCACTACGGAAGTAGATTGCCCAACCTTCCTTCCGAGGAGTGCCACCATCACAATAAAAAATTATTTTAAAAAAACCAGATTTGATGGCATCGTGTCCTCCTGCCTCCAGTGGTTCCAGTTCTCTTGTGATGGAAATCCAAATCCTTGCCATGGCCACAGGACTTTGCCGGGCCTGGTTCTGCTCACCTCTCCAGGCCCCTCCCCCTCAGAGCGTTTGCTGGAGCTGTTCCTTCCGCCAGAGTGCCCCTACCACCACTCCTCTTCAGGGCTCTGACTCTTCCTGTCCTCTGACACCCAGCCCCGCCCTCACTTCTCCAAGGACTCCCAGGTCGCTCAGGTCTCCCTTTTCTAATAGCAGCAGCTGACGCGAGGTGCCAGGCATTAACCCCCTACATATGCTCCCTCGTTTAATCTTCACAACGACAGTGGTGTCACCAGGGGGACTCAAGGGATGTGAACCATACCAGGTGACACTGTCAGAGGGAGTGACACCAAAATGACTGTCTATAAAATTTTTGTGCAGTATGTCAGCAATGGGAGCTCTGGTGGCATAATGCCTAAGG